TTTTTTTTTTTTTTTATCATGTTTAACACTATACCAGTTTATCTTTAATTTTCCTAAAATAACAATAAAAAAGGTTTGCTCTCACATGATCTTTCTGGAACCAAAATGGTAGGTTTCCAACATCTTTTCCTGCCTGTGGGACTGGGACCTTCGTAGTTCCTACACCAGGGGAAAGTTCCTGTGCTAACTACATAGTAACTGAGTCAGTATAACTGCAGGCACCCTCTTAGCAATGTGAAAATATGTAACAAATACAGATCGTTTATTTTTATTTGGAAACATTCGACTTCTGGTTTGAAATTTTCTATTTTAGTCTGCACGTCTTGCAAACATCTACTGTGTTTATTATGGGCACCAATTCATTATCGTGATAAGTGTCTCAGAAACCAACAGGGGTTCCCACACGTAGTTCTGCATCCGTGGCTGAGGTGGGTAACGCCTGAGTAACTTGGGGTGACTCGCACCATGGAAGAAATAGCAAAAGTCTATTGTAGCAAAGACACTTTGCTTAGTGGTTTATACCCTTAAAACAGGTGTCCTAGAAGATACAGGTAAGTTTTCTCATTCCAGGACCCATTGGATGGTGTGTTTCACTTAAGTAGAAGATGACAAAAACATTTGTCATGCAAATATAAAGCCACACTGTAAACCTGTTCGGGCAGGAAAGGAAGCAATGTTACAGGTATATTCGGGGTGTGACGGCAGAAAGGAGGGCTCTCTTATTAAAATAATCACATTTAATCAGTTAATTGCTCTTCTCCACCTCTCTTCCTCGTTACCATACTTCTCCACCCCCACCACAAACTCCCTCGCTGGATGCTGGACGCACTTATGTAAATGTACATGGTGTGATGCCGGGGAAAGAGTCAGTGCTGATTTTTCATGTCATTTAGATTACCTTTGTCCCAGGGATCTTTCCATCCTCTCAGACAGGAAAAGATAAGATATTGGATGACTGAGAGTTGGATAATCAGCTATGAGCTTTCCTTTTTTTTTTAAT